CGTCATGATGTAGTTTATTCTGGTTATTTTTCTATGGATGTCGTTAGTTGTTTCAGCTCTTTCTCTTTTCACCCAGTAATAATATCATTCGTCTTTGTTTTTGCTGCGTTTTGCTTTTCGACGTATTAGTTAGTTTATTATGTTTTGTGTAACATTATGGTCATCACCCATTGGCCTAGCCAGAAGCCGTACTAGAGGTTCAATCCGGAAGGGTTAAGGGTGCCACCGGTAGGTCCTACTTCTTTACTATCCGTCTGCGGTTTCTGCCAATCCGCTACTCCCTTATATCGCAAATTTCTCGACTTCTAAAAAAAAAGGTATATTTTGAACGAAAGCAAGATAAAGAAACAGGCTTTTAAGAAGATACCAATAACTCCAAATGCCTAAAAATTGACGAACGCCTGAGCTTTTAAAATACCCCACGTCGCTACCCTAAAATTACAAAGTTCATCTGCTCAGAACCTAGTTTTGGGAAATTTGACGTGAAAAATAAATTAAGTTTCACAAAATGTCAAGCTTTTTCGAATGCAATTCTTTGAATATCTCGATTACTGCTTTCGAGTAATTCTTACCTTATTTTCTTAAGAGCAAATAAAACATTCAGTTTCTGACCTCATGGTCTTCGTGTAACTCAAAACGGCCAAAGATGTCAGATAGAACTTGGCAATTCTAATTAAGGTAGCGAAGTGTTGTCGAACGACGAGAATGTGTGTCTTCAGTGGGTTAAACGCCTCGGTGTTCATGTCCTGGCTGTGCTGTATGTGAAGTTGATTAAAATTCTGCTGTAGTGTGTAGACTTGTGTCTTCCTTGGATTGATCACCGGCGTCTGTGGTGTAGCGGTTGGCCCTTGATTTTGTTGCACGCAATGTAATTTTTTTCCTGTGTGCGCAAAATGCATGTTCGTAGTCCAGGTCCAGTTCTATAAAATATTTGTGAGGCATCGTGGTCGAATCAGGCTATCGACAATTTTTGGGCATGTAGAGTTATTGGTATCGTGTTAAAGCTTGTTCACTTGTCTTTATTAGGATGAAAAAAATATTCATTTATCTTGAATACAAGTCGAGATATTTGCAAACGAAGGAGGTGTGGGTCACATTGTTTTCTGAGGTAAAATTAGTGAGAAAATGGCCGCCAAAGATTAGTTATTTCCTTAGCTTAAGAGTCCGTGGCAACTGAAAATTTACATTTATTGTACCTTTAATCAACGTTTTTCAGAAACATCCACCCAGAAATGCGTTCTTTAATGGGCATGAAAGGATTTGAACCAAAAAACACAAATTTGATAAAAATTCACAAACCTGCTGAAAAATGCAAGTTTCTTCATTTTGATTATTTTGACGAGAGCCTGATTCCACCACGCTGCCTCACATATGTCTGAAGTCTACATCTACTCATTTGGAAGGCTAATGAGGCTAATCGTATATATATCTTGAACAAATACTGCAGTGCGGGGTTGTTTGCTTGTGTCACTAATAGGTCCTTCTTTCTTTCTTTCTTTACTTACTCTCTGTTGCGTTTGTCTGTGTGCTTTGCGTTGATTTTCTTTTTCATCTATTTTAAATGACCATTAGTGTATCCCTGCCCCCCCCCCTTTTTTTAAAACTAAAACTTAAACTAAACTACTGCAAAGAAATTCCGTGACTGTTAGCTACCCCAGAATTACACAGTTGTATCTGACACTTTTGATCGTTTTGAGGTACCAAGAAATAGGTCAGAAACCAAATGTGGGACGTGCTGACAAAATGAGTTACTTCTCGCAATTCACAAATGGAGATATCGGCAGAAAATCAACAAAGGAGTAAATGTGTAGACTCTCAACTGATGTCATTTTCTTCAAATGTATCGTGTCTTTTATTATTTCCAACTTATGAATTGAAAAAACTCAGCCTATCAGTTCAACACCTCTATTTCTAGAGGGCTAAAATAGGAGAAGCAACTAATTTTCTTAGCACGTCTCACAAATGGTCCTTCTGTTCTATCAAAATCGAAAGAATATTTGGAGTCATTATCAAGGTATTCAAAGAATGGCTTTGGAAAAAGCTTGACTTGATGTGGATCTCAAAATCCTTGACGTCTAATTTCTCAAAAACTTTGTACTTTGCAAGTAAGACTTTGTAATTCTATTCTGAGGTAGCGTGTTGACATGAGACAAGAATTTGGGAATAACGTATGTGGACTTTCATTCTCACCAAGGCCAGTTCCTGGTCTAATGACTTGAAGAACAAGGCAAAGTACAGACACATCGTCACGGGAAAAGGAATAAATGTGTCATTGAAGATGTTTTACTGTGGCGGCTTCGGCCTTGCCTGTCAGGGCTAAACCCTGGCTGAGATCAGGGGTACAACGTCCCAGCAGACAGACGGAGTTACTCGATAAAAAGAACCTCCACCACACAAGAATTGAACCCGCCTCTTCTGCGTAAGACGATGGTGAGCCTAACCGCTACGCCACAGGCGCATGCTCAGGGGAAATGAGGTCATGCAGTGGGGGAGGAGTCACGACCTTCACTGACTGATGAATTGTTCAAAATTGATTTATTGAGATATAATATTTGAGCGGATGGTTGGGGCGTCCCTTATCTTCTCTCTCTCTCTCTCCCTCTCTCATTCTCTCTCTCCTCCTCTCTCATTCTCTCTCTCCTCCTCTCTCATTCTCTCTCTCCCTCTCTCATTCTCTCTCTCATTCTCTCTCTCTCATTCTCTCTCTCTCCCTCTCATTCTCTTTCTCTCTCTCTCTTTCTCTCTCTCTCCCTTTGTCATTCTCTCTCTGTCCCTCTCTCATTCTCTCTCTGTCCCTCTCTCATTCTCTTTCTCTCTCTCTC